ACAACAACCACACAACCTTCATCATCCTCGCCAGTGAATAAAGTTATACAGAATCCATCTGAATTTTATAATCTCAAAGCCATTACATCACGCCATAGTAAGAAGTACGGTGTCTGGGCGGGAAATTTTCAAATAAAAATAGCAGAACTGCCCTTACATGGTGTAGACACGGTGCTACCGGTATTTCTGTCTGTTTTGGAAGATATTTTCAAAAAACTCCGTGATTTTGTGCCTAACAAAGAAGATTTAATTAGTATATCGTTGGAGTCATCTCAGCTCTCTCATCCCATCCAGCTTAAATTATCCACACAGGATCAAGTGAACGCAGAGATGTTCCTGTACTTGATTGCAAATACTCTAACTTCGAAAACGGAATTCTCTTTAGGTTTACCGGTTTACATTAACCTACTACGCGTGCCCCGGCAACCGACAGGGAAAGGCGCAGGTGCAACCAGCGCCAACATCACCACCATCACAACCACCACCACCACCGAGAGTAGAAAACAAGACCGCCATTTTCGTAACCTTTTGAAAGCGCCTCAAGGCGGAGGAATTGTTAACGTAAAAAACAACGATAGTCTCTGCTTTGGCCGAGCGCTAGCCATTGCCATTGCCCATGCGTCACAACTTCATAAAGTTGACAAGAGGAAGTGGAAAGAACTCTGTGACAGCAGGAAACAGCTACAGAAAGTGGAAGCAATAAAGCTGTACCAGGCAGCGAAAGTACCGCTCGGAGCTGTGTCATACAGTGACTATTCGGCTTTTCAAGCCGTACTTCTTCCAAATTACGCGCTGTCCATACATAAATGCCCTGATGCGGAAACGGGATTGTTATATAACGGCACAAGCATCAAGTGTCCAAAAAGCTTGCATCTTCTTCTATCTAACAATCACTATGCGGCAATCACCAAACCGGCACGATTTTTTGGAAAGAAAAAACAGTGCAAGTTTTGCGACGGCTATTTTACCAAGCTTCACCGGCACCGATGCCGAAAAGCTTGTTTTAACTGCCAGAGAAAAGATTGCGAATTCGACAGAGAAATAACATGTGGGGATTGTCAAAGAAGTTTCAAAAACTCAGAATGCTTCCGCCTACACAAAACACCAACGTCAACAGCAGCGCCGACCACGGACTGTGAACTCCGTCGAAAGTGCGCTGACTGCAGCCTGATCATCTACATGGATAAGGGGCGACATCCGGCCAACCCCGTTCACCAATGCGGCGAATATTATTGCCGGAGCTGCAAGCTTGTTGTTGATCCCTACCATCGTTGTTACGTGCAAGTGCACGAGAGCAAGCCGAAGCCCGAACGCCAGTTTCTTTATTGCGACTTTGAAAGTGATATAAGCAAAGAATATCATATCCCAATCGCTGCCGTAGCCGTTGATGATGCCGGAAAAGCGACGCGATTTTTCGGAAAGAATGCCGGGGAAAAATTCTGCAATTGGCTTTTCCATCCGCGGCACCGCAATCACATTGTTGTTTTCCATAACCTTATGGGATATGACGGGAACTTCATTATGCAGCACCTTCACCGTAAACACTTATGGCCGCATGTCATCATGCGAGGTCTGAAGTTTCTTCAGATTAAAGAAACCACGAATAATATCATCCTACGAGATTCCCTTGCATTTTTGCCTATGAGTTTAGCCGATATGCCGGCTGCATTCGGTTTCAACGCAGCCAAAGGTTGTTTTCCCTTTCTGTTTGCGCGTGAAAAACATTTCAACTATGTAGGACACATTCCATCAGAGCACTACTACCTGACAAGCCAGATGAAGACCAAGCACTACAAAAAATTTAAGGAATGGTACGACGCGGAGGTTGCCGCAGGGAAAATGTGGAATTTTTCTCAGGAGATCCTAAAATATTGTACCAACGATTGTCATGTACTGCGGGAGGCTTGCCAGAGATTCTGCGAAAGTATGAAGGCACTTTGTGGAGGGTATAACCCGCTCGTAGAGTCGGTTTCACTCCCTGGCTACGTAAACCTCGTGTACCGAGCTCGTTTCATGCCGAAAGACAGCATTCAATATTTTACTTATCGCGATCTCCAGACCTACCGCACATACTCCTTCGAAAGCATGCAATGGTTGCATTTTGTCATGCAAAACGAGCACATTGAAATTCAACACGCTCGAAATCATCGGGACGGAGAAAAACGAATAGGCCGCTACAAAGTTGACGGATTTTACGAAGCAGCCAATACGGTTTTCGAGTACCATGGGTGCTATTTTCATGGGTACGTTGTTGTTGTGGTTGTTGTTGTTGTTTGTGTTACTGTTGTTCTTGTGAAGTGATAAAACAATAAAACATTTGTACAGATGTCCAAAATGCTACACGGCAGACGCGGTAACAAATGGGAATCAAAATATGGCTCAATTGCTACAGGCAACGAAGCATAAGCAGCGCTACCTGGAAACTCGTGGCTATTCCTATCGCAGTATCTGGAGCTGCGAATGGAAATCCTTAAGGCAAGGGGAGGAGGTGAAAAAAGTTTTAAAAAGTTTCTGCCACACCGAACCCATGAATGTGCGTGATGTTCTGTTCGGTGGGCGGACGGAGGCGTTCCGCCTGCTCAACCTGCCGGACACAGGTAGTGGCCGGTACATCTCCTACCTAGATAAGAATTCCCTTTATCCTGCCGTATGCAAGCAGAAGGAATACCCTCTTGGGCTGCCTGACCGAATCCTTAGCGATTTCAGGCCCCTTGATCAGTATTTTGGAATCGTTCATGTGAGAGTGCTTCCGCCCAGCAATCTTCCGCTCCCTCTTCTTCCGCAACGCATCAATGGCAAATGTATGTTCGCCCTGTGCTGGCGGTGTGCAGAGGCAAACAACCAAGAAACGTCCTGCACGCACACTGAAGAAGAGCGAAGCTTCAACGGTGTTTATACGACACCGGAAGTTAATCTGGCAGTCTCCCTAGGCTACCGTATACTGGCAGTTCATGAAGTCTGGCATTACCCGAAGAGGGGAAATTTGTTTGCCGATTACATAAGCACATTTATGGCAGAAAAAGCAGCAGCAAGCGGCTTTCCCTCACACTGCCAGTCCGATGGAGAAAAACAGGTTTACCTTCAGTCGCTTAAAGACAGAGACAATGTTGTTGTCGACCCGGTGAAGGTGGAATTCAATCCCACACGACGCCTTCTCTCGAAACTCATGCTCAATACATTATGGGGCAGGCTGGCAATCAAGGAAAACAAACCGAGTTTTGAATATGTCAAAAGCGTCAAGCGGTTCAATGAATTATTCTACTCTGGAAAATATACAGTTAATTACATTGATGTTGTTAACGAGGATGTTCTACAGGTGCAGAGCACCAAGTCAAGCGACTTGGACGGAACTGATTTGCGCGCAAATGTAATCATCGCCGGTTTTGTCACTAGTTACGCGCGTCTGGAGCTATATGCTGGGATGACCTTTGTAGGCATCGAACGCCTGTTATATGTTGATACTGATTGTGTGATTGCGCTGGAAGGACCCGGTCTGCCGAGCCTCCCCGTGGGCGAATGCTTAGGAGAGTTTAAATCGGAGATCGATGATGACAGAATCACTTTGTTCGTCTGTGGCGGCCCGAAAATGTACGCATACCGTACCGAGAAAGGAATGTCCGTCTTCAAGGCAAAAGGAATAACAATTAATAAAGGAAACATCGATTTCTTCACACCAGGATTGCTGGAAGAGATGGTCAAAAATCCAGAAAAAATTCAGTATTTTCTCAACCCGTACAAAATTTTTCGTATACGAGGCACCTGGCAGCTGACCACGCGGGAGGAGACGAAAATGGTCCGATTCACATTCGATAAGCGAAGAATACTGAATTCCACTCCGAGTTATGAAACGCTCCCATTCGGATATAAGATATAAAAGAGCAATACCTTTGTTTATCCTCTCTTACAGCCGCAGTTCATCCAGATGGAATGTACGAAACCATACAGAACTTTAACCCGCTCCTTGTTCACCCGTTCAATCTGGTCTGCAGCTGCCAGAGCCAGGGAGGTAAAACCTTTTGGATATGCCGGTTGCTTGAGCTGCGCAAAATTACCCCATTCCCAAAGAAAGTGTACTTTATCTACTCTTATGAATCACCTGTTTTTAAAACCATTAAAAAACATACAAAAAATGTTGTTTTTATTAAAAATATTCCTGAAGATATTGCGGAAGAAAGCTTCACTAATAAAAACGACCCTTCCTTGATTATTTTGGACGATCAGATGCAGGAAATAAACAAAAATGTGGTCTCTCTTTTCACAAGAGGAACTCATCACTTGAACCGCTCTGTCATTTTGACAGTGCAAAATGTATTCTTTCAAAATCCACTTATGCGTACAATTTCTTTGAATGCTCATTATCTCGTGCTGTGGAAACAGCCTCGAGACATGATGCAGATGGAGATACTTGCACGGCAAATGTATCCGCGGTGCTCGACACAGTTCATGGAAGCGTATAAAACTGCAACGCTTCGTGATTATGGTTATTTATTTTTGGATTTCAAGTGTTGCACGCCCGACATTTTGCGGGTGCGGGGAAATTTGTTAGGCGAGAGTGTTGATAATTACCAGCGAGTATATGCGATCACAAATTCTAGTATGGACGAATATGCTCTCGTTCCCGTAAAGCATATTGGGAAACAGGGTAATTTAAACGTGAATGCCCGGGCTGTCCGCAGTAATTGTTTGAAGAAAAAGAGGACGAAAAAACCCGAGAAGAAGAAGAACAAGAACAAGAAGAAGCAGAAGAAGACCGAAAGAAAGCATAAAGTCAAAAATAGGAGTAGTAGCTCAAACTCAGGAAAAAGACAACGCAAAATAAAAAAAGGGGAAAATAATAGCAACGAAAGGATGACTGTTGAGAATGAAGAAATTTTAATTTAAATTGTATACCTTTTCTTGTTGTTTGGTAGGCTTCTTCTGTGTGTAATAACAAATAAAAATCGCTTTATTACGAAAGTGTCAGAAGTCGTTTTTAGCGCACCATTTAATTAATCTTTCACTCATTGATCGTGGCGGTCGCCATCCTCGTCATAGTCATCATCATTAGCATCATCATCATCATCGTCATCAATTAACAGAGCTCTCTCGTTAACGTTACCATCGTAGTCAATATCATCTTTTTCGACACTACCACCACCACCACCAACACGAGCACTACCACCACGATCACCACGTACATCACCACCTTTACAAGTGCGCAAAATTTTTTTCGCGGCCGCCTTGGCCAAGCAATTAATGCTTCTCTTTTTACTGCTTCCATTTCCACTTCCGCGGCTCTTTTTTACAGAGGCTTTATTGTTGCTACTACTACGTGAGGAAGACGAGGCGGGCTGCAAGGCCACTGGCCGCATAAACGCGTTTGATTTCTCCCACTCACTGACACGACATGCTAGGGTTTTTACGGCGGCCAAAAATTCAGGAAGATAGCTGATGGGAAAATAGAATCCACAGCGAGTGGCAGCATATGAATCATCCTGTGGAATGTGCTTGATCAGGCGTAGATCGATACGCGGCTCGTGTGGTTGGTAGAGGCTTACGCTGAGCATGATGGACGTAGGTTTGTGCTAAAACATGAAAAGCACGACCGGTAAATTCCTGTTTCCATTACAAGCAAAACGTGAGGTTTGTCAATATGTATATATAAAAAATATGTATTAATATGCACAGCTTAAAACTTGAGGCTCATCCAAGGTAAAGGTACTGCTCCGGTTGTATTCAACGGGAAACAGAATTATATCGAGTCTTGTAGCTCCTGCCTGAAATGTTGACGGCAAAGCCGTGATATTCAACCGATAAGCAGGCAGTATCAGATTATTGCCATTGCGCCTAACATAGGCTAGTACTTCGCCGAAAAACCGGTTAAAGTCAAAAGCGCCGCGAATGAGTAATGCCCGTGAACTTTTCAGCAAAGGTAGCGTATCGTTAATAAACTGACTTATTAGAAAGCCTTTTTCATTCAACACTGTCCCTGTACGGTTAGCTAACGCGCCGATTGCATCCTGACTGCGCGTCAGCATACAGATTGTTGTAACCTGGGCAATTAAAATCAGAAACAGTAAAGCTTTGCCATGATACTGGCGCCAGTAGGTCAAGATGTATTCGTGAAAGGTCATTTCTGAATTCAGTTATACAAATTCGGTTTGAAAGCACAACTAATGTAATGTGCTTACTGTACGCTTATATATACCTGGCTTCTGGTACTTACAATCAGAATAAAAGGGCTGTTCTTAACAAGTCGAGCATATTCCGTGTCGACGGCATTTTTCTTCGTGTAAATTTCTACGTTGTTGGATAAATTCCGAGCCATAGTGGTGGTGAAGATGATAAACTGCCAACTGATTCTGCCAATAAACAGATTTAAACTCTGGCTGGCTTTGGCTTTTATGTGCCAATGCCATGACTCATAGAATGGTAGCAGATGGCAATGATATCATCATCTCAGTGGATGATCACGCGAGGATGAGAGGAGGCGGTCAGTCAGCAGACTTTGACCGCTGCCTACTGAACCTCCCTTTCCCGCCCAGTATGTTGTAGGTCAGAATAACAACAAGCAGCAGTGTATGTGTGTGTATGCCCTGTATAAAAGGAAGCAGCAGTAGTTGTCAGGCAAGTCAGGAAATCACTTATTTCCTGAAAGCAAAATGTCTGCTGCTACACAGTTATATGAGAGCTTTGAAGCTGGTGTTTATACGGAAAGTGATGATGCTGGACTATATCGTTTAATCTGCTCAGACAATTTTCCGCCCCATTCAATAAAGTCACTCGGAAAGCTGGGATTTCGGCCCGTGAATATTAGCGAGGCGTATTTTTGTTTGTTCTGCAAGCGGATAGACGTAACACTGGCCGGCAAAGAAGATCCTCTGGATTACCATCTTCGCTGTACACCCTGGTGCGCTGAGATGCGAAAACGCTACAAGGAACAGGGAAAGCCCGATCCCACCGACAAAGCGGGCCAAATATTGACAGTGGCCTGCCCTTTTGATTTTACAAATGCGCAACTTTATGAGAGGCTGAGATCTTTTAAAAATTGGCCTTCCCAGCTACTGCAAACACCTCTGGATTTAGCCCGGGCGGGATTTGTCTATACTGGTACAGGGGACGGGGTGGAATGTTTTAACTGCGGTCTGCATGTCAGTCAGTGGACACCGGACGATGTGCCATGGCACGTTCATACACGGGATGCCCCGAGCTGTTTGTATATCACTACCTGCCTTGGCGAAATTGTACGTGACCGTCATAAGGAGCTCTCCTGTCTCACTCTCCGTCCCCGACATCAGCAACCTGGTGGTGATGAGAACGAGAAGTGCAGTAATAGCAGTGGCGGAGCAGAAACAACTTCGTTCGTGTCGGTTTATGATGAGAACTTTTTTGACGAAGGTATTCGGGCTTTTGTGGTGTCACGGGCTTTAAAATATGGATTTAGTGTGGAGGAGATACGGAAAGCCATCGCCAGTGTCAAACGAATAAATCCTCCCGAAGCTGAGATCACCGTGAAAACACTGCTCAGCCATTTGGAGGCCAAGCGGATTAAGTGTGGTCAGAAAAAACGACGCTTCTGCCAACTGCATTGTTCTCGATGCGGACAGTACACGCAACATCGATCTGGAGCACGAAACCGTGTGCTGAAAGATGGAAGAGATTCGGTGCAGAATAGTGCATCCGCTTCTGGATATGGAGTAGATTATTTTGAATGCACAAAGTGTGGCCCATACGTTGAATGACTGACTGACTGACTGTAAACTCCCAACTTCCTTGATTACCACTTGAAGTGACTATCTGGTGACCATTTAAGTGTTTATTTATGTTTTAACAAAAACTGAAGCACGTCCGTTTAACAGTGATTGAAAAAAAGCCGCTGCTGATATCATTCCTGGGTATATACCATCACAGGTCACTAAAAACTAAATAGCCAAATAAAGGAAGTTCAAGAATTTCAAAAAACAACAATCGTAAACCATACAGCCAATAAACTGAAAAGTCATTTTGTGCTACTAGCCAACAGAAGACGCGGGAGATGGTGAACGTGGGCTCTCCGTTTGGCCAGTTTCCAGAATGCGGTCTTCATTGGGATACACATCGCATGGCGGGAATCGATGTAGGTCGTCTGTCGCCCGGGCAAATACAGGATAAAATTTCGACCCGGTGTACAGAAAGCGCAGTGGTTCGGCTGCGAGAGGTTCCGATTTTCGAAACAGTGAATTAAACACTTGCCCCTTGCTTGAATCGTCCAACACCGCAGACAACTGCAATTAACTAATTTGTAGTGTCAATATCATTAAGGAATTCGCTGCAAACCATTACCTGTAAATCGGTGTAATTCTTTTTCCACTCAGTCGGGTTCTTGCGACTCGCAGTGCCAGCAGAAGAGTCATGCACGTAGATGGGACGGGCGAGCACTGTGGCCAGGATATAAAGGGTTCCCCAGTGTGCAGCGAGCGGCTTGACGCTAGGCACATCTTTGACGGCGTGCAGCACGATGCTTGTAAAGGTTATGCCCATGTGGTTCAGACAATTCAGCAGACCCGCCAACTCGCCAGCTACGTGAAAGTGCTTTTCGAGCATGGCAAGGACAACAAAGCGTACATGGCACTCCAAGTCTGGTGTTCCAGCCAGGGCGACCGACACGGCTTGATAGAGACAGTTGCCGTTCTGTGTGCCGGAGCTGGCAACGGCGAATCGATTCAGAAATGCCGCGTAGAAAAGCGGACCAGCCATTAGCGGAACGTCCGCAATGGCCTCTTCGCCCACCAAAGGTGTCTTACTGCGTAGAGCAAACGTGAGGTGATACGCCAAATTCTGGCAGCGGCTAAATGCCTAAATAAATGGCCCGTTATTGCCGGCAAACTGCTCGGATTAAACGAAAAAAGCAAAGGTCACCGACACCTACCACTATCATTGGAGCAAATCCGTCCATGCTGACTGGCGGTTCGTTGTTTTGCATCAGAAACTCACGGACCTCCGCCAGATATGGTGTTATTTGCTCGTTGGGTGGAAAGATCGGTACCTGCAATAAGCGTGGTTATTTCTGGAATAGTGTCCAGACCTGCGGCAATTTCTGTTTTTTTCTACCTGTACACCATCAGCGCTACACTCAAAACGCGTTCCGTCATAAATGAACGCATTACGGCAAAAGGTTGCGATGACACCGGCTTGAGTATCGCTTATCTCAAGCTCCAGACCGTTGCGTGTGAACATTAAATCTTCTACAAGGACGTAGGAATCGATAAACGGCTGGTTATAGACCCGGCCAAGACATTCATATTGGCGCTTCTCCGGGCTGAAATATCCGTAGACGTCGAGGTCAGCCTTTGCCACGCATTTGAACGGGTCTGGATCGTAGAGCTGCGCCCGAAATTTTACGACCACTACCAATTCTGGTCGATGACAGAATCGTTGAAGTATTCGGACTTCATTGACCATTGCGGTTTGCATCTAAAAAACAGAAAAGAACTTCCTGAGCTTCGTCTTACGCTGATCAATGCGCTGAACTTACGATCTGGAAAAACTGGTTGCTTCTTTGGGCTTTAAGCAGGGCAACGGAAGAAGCCAGCATTGAGGCAGAGTGGCATGGAGGCAGCGGAGCAGTGCCGGCAGGGCGTTCGTCCGTGTAATCTGAAAACGGTGTCCACGGATAGGTGAGACCAAGATTCTTCAAGTCCTAATCCAAACAAAAAAATTGACCTTATCACCACGCTCCAAATGAGTGATATTTTACGTTACCAGATCTCCAGTTACATCAAAGGCAGGGAACGGCTGTCCCCTTCCTGTGCCCTTAACAGCGGCGACGGTGGTGTTTTGGACAGTTGCGGGGACGGTGGACGGCTTGCTCGTGGTGCCGCTGTTGCTGTTCTTTCCGCTTTGTGCTTTGCGGGTTTTGGTGGTAGTGGTCTCGTTGGAAGTCGTACCAGTGGAAGAGAGGGAGGATGCGGCTTCCGATGCCAGTGACTCGGCTCTTTTTTCCGACTCGGCAACGGGCGCTTTACTTCGTGTCAACCTTTCCTGGAATTGAGCCATAATATTATTATAAGCGGAACGGCCTCGTTTTTGCCCGCGCTACTACCTACCGAAACTACCGTTGTTGCCGGGGCCACAGCTTTCTTCTTTCTCTTTTCCTTTTCTTCAACAACGATATTCTTGCCGAGCGCCGCATTGACCTGCAATCCAGACCGAAAGATCAGATTCACGTTTTTACAACTAATCAGTAATTCCAATAATAGCCAACTTGAGAGCTTACCACATTCGGCCACTTGCACGCCCATCGGAAGTCGTAGCCATCCTTTACGATGAAATCGACAGCGGCGTTGAAGCAGACAAAATACTCCGTCTCTGAGCTGAGAGCTTTCCTTGCCGCCATCTGGTCGGGGAGCAACTCTGACAACTTCAGCGGTGACATCAGCTTCCCAAAAACTGCAGGGATATAATCACTTTTGGATTCCTGTACGTGTACTGCCTCAGCAAAATTTGGGTCTTTCAAAGCCGCATAGAGACCGCGCACACGGTCCATACTGTCCGGGGGCAGCTGTGCAATATTGCAGAACTTGTTCAGGACTTTGTCACCGCGCTTGCTCGTATCCGCATGCAAAGTCAGGATGTCGCGCTGCATGCAGGGAAAAATGCTGCCGAGCCTCTCTTTGAAATCTTTTTTAAATGCTGCATACATGGTTCGATGCGGGCCGAGTGTTTCGTTGAATATGGGATAAAACTGTCGAGGGCGTGCGGTTATTGGCAGGCCATTCTTTTGGCAGTGGTCCTTGACAGTGCGTTCATAAGTGTCCCGAATGATCTCCAGTGCCTCCAGCCCCAAGCGATCTAGCGTTTTATGCAAAGCCTTTGCCCATTCGTGGGCGATAATTTGCTGAATTTCTTCTCGTGAACAATTCCAATAGACAGTAACCTTAAAACGTTTCCTTTTCAATCTCTTCCCGGCATGGAAGCGCTGGACTCCTTTCAAGAGATCAATTTTCAATTCGCCAGCCCGAATGGCTGCCATCGCTTCTGCAAAGCTGCCTTCATACTGAATATACCCAATCAGCTCCCAGTCTGGAGCATTTTTTCCCACTTCCTTTTTCTGAAAAAGGTTGTCAGCCAGCGCAGTGTATGCAACAGCATCTGGAAGGCGCACGCCAGGAATGCCCGGCTCGGAATTAATAAACCGGCTAGGGAATTCCTGTGTGGTGAAAAACTTCTCCCGCAGCAGCTCCGGCACTATCTTGGCATTGGATACTCGCTGGAATTCGGCCTGGCAAAGGAAATGTTTGCCTTGAACAGCGTAAGCCAGTTGGTCAGGCGTGGGATACTCTGGATTGCCCAGGTATTCAAGTTTCTCTTCCGCAGCGCGGCGAATTGCTTCCAGGTTTTCGCGAGACTCCATATTATCAAACCCGTGCTGTTCACCTCGCTCCTTTGCGGCCTTGTCATCGTCGCACTGGACATAGGCGTTTCTGTCAAGAACGGTCTTTACGAACAAGTCAAGATCCGCGAAGTTAACAGCTGATGCAATGTTGGCGCCAAGCTGGCCGCCCATATGTGGCGTTCCGGGCGAGAGAACCATGGTTTGTCCAGCTCCTTGCATGGCGTAATACACATGCACACCCCTCTGCAGTAGTCGTTCAATTACCAAGACGATGGCCTGCTTGTGGTGACTGCCGATGGCGAAGTATTTGCAGTTGTAGTCCAGATTTCCCTCTTTAATCAGCTCTTCCACAACCTCCTGAAGAACTGGTGCATCTTTGGGGGCGAGAACCAGCCAGAGTTTTCGACCATCCTCGCCGTCCGTCCAGTGTACGGTGTTGATGCTGCCCATCAAGTAATCTTCCCTGTGCCATGCAAAGAATGACAGCGCGGTAGAGTAGAGCCATTCAGGAATCGTAATTCCAGTAAGCGGGCCACAATCGAATACTTTCTCCATTACGCGTACCAAGCACACTAGTCCGCGGTCGTTGGGCGGCTGCAACGTGAAACGATGAACTGGACCGTTAACTGGGAACACTTAAAATACAAGAAGCCATATATCACCGCATACTTACGTTTTCAACCACCTCGGGACCGAAATGTCCATACACCCCCTGGAACTCTTTGTCAGTAAAAGCGGCATACGAGACAAGGCAGAGGAGTTCGTGGAAGGGCTCCGGCAGCGGTGCTTTCTTGGATCCGGCAGTGGACAGTAACGGGGAATCTTTTAAGGCAAGAAGGTCGGTGCGCAGTTTGGCCACGTATTCCTTCTGCTTCTCAATGACGTCCCTCCAGTTTTCCCCGTTCTTTAGCGGATGTTCTTTACCACTCTTCTCCAGCAGCACCATGTCTTTTCCTTTAACGCCTTTAAACTTCTGGAGGACGTACTTGATTTTTCCGGCAGTTTCCAACTTTTGAAAATGCGGCGAATTCAGAAGCTCTTCGTCCGTGTATACCATTTCCTCGCTTCGTACCAGCTGCAACAATTTACCATAATATATCTAAATAACTTTAATTTAACTAAATACGAAGATATATATTTATGGACACGCACCAATCCAGCATACCACTCCTCCTTCGCATACAGACGAGAAAGTTTCTTTATAAGCCGACTGAGTTGTTCGCCGTACTTTTCACGCTCGAGGACGTACTTGAAGGTGGGAAGTTCGTGAATCAGATGTTCCCATTCCTTCTCGGGCACGAAGGACGGAGAACGCTTGCATCCCTTCGGCGTCTGTGTAACAAAAAGATCTCTATAGAAAAACCAGCCTAATTAAACTTAGCCAGAAATTCTGCCGCCTGGAGAAAAGCCAACCAACGAAAATATTCACCTCGTAAGCTCGCTGGAATATGTCGGTCCAAGTGTCGGGATCGATAAGAGTCGGATCATCAGCTTCCGGTGGGAAAAAGTCTCCGTGATCAATGCCGACTGCCGGTACGCTTGCAGCAGGGGACTGCGGGGATTCTTCGTCGGAAGCTTCAAGGAGTTCGTGATTTATTCCAGTGTCGGCATCGCTCACATTGTCGTCGTCCTCCACTTGGACTTCTTCGGCGACAGTAAGCGAACCCAGTGATGAAGACTGTGGCAATCCGTTGTTGAGGTCGCTGCTTTGGTCCAGTGCACTTCCCACGGTGACTTCATTTTGGACATCCATCCCGACCGAGAATGACCGGTCGGCAGACGTTGACCGTGATTTTGCAGGCACGGACGACGATTGTTCTGGAGGTTCGGGAGTTGTGGCAGTGGGCAACTGCTCGAGTTCCGGCGCAGTGAGCTGCGGCGCAGCAAAGAATTCCTCCACATATCCAATCGTTTTCGCTGTTTCCGCCGACGGCTCACGGACGCTTCTTGGTGAAGGCAGCGTCAAAAGACCGTTTGAATCGTGTTTGGATCGTTTGGATGTACGGATCACAAAGAGCGGATTTTCCACGGCCTCGTTCCGGAACAGCGCATCCTGAGAAAGCCGTGGTGAATCTGATGGAATCTCTTTGTCCCGCTTCCGTTTAGCTATAGCTCTTGCGGATCCGAGTGTCTTTGCTGGCATGATCTACAATTAACCGGTAATAGTAGTGATTTTAATCGACAACATTCCGCCGAAGTATTTGCGCGTACAACCTTCTGATGCATCATAAGTTTTCTTGGACATGCAGTGTACTTTTAGTTAGCAGATAACTATAGCTTAGTTGTCTTTGCCGTTACCACACGACCGTCAAGATTGTGTTTTTCCGCTTGTGTTGTTACTGTTATTCAGTTATTATCTTCCGAAGCAAATCAGCCGAATATCCCTAACAAGAATTCCGCTACCCTTTGAAAACACTTATATCATCGTAAATAAAAAATCCGCAGTCGAGAAACAGAGCATTAGTCACACACAACAACACAAAATACTGACAACATCCGGCCTCAACTACCAACAACAACACGCACTACACCGCAGCCTCCTTCTCGTCTGCCTTCTTCACCAGCACCCTGTAGCGCTCGAGGTACGCCTTCTCCCGCTTCTCGGCCCTGGCCTTGGCCTCGCGCTCCTTGTGCCGGTCGACGCGTTCCTGGCGCTCGGCAGGAGTTTCATGGTTGCGAGCCGCCTTCTTGGCCCTCTCCCGCGGCCGCTGCTTCGTTGTGCGAGTCTTCTTTCGGCGCTGGGAGTCGGCCTGGTTATGGCGACGGCATGTGGCGTCGACTTCCATCACAGCCTGCTCCCACAGCTTCCGATTCCGCTCCTCCCGCTGACGCTCACGATCACGCTGCTCCTGAAGCAAGCGCTGTGCTTCCTGCAGCTTCACACACCGCTGCTGCTCCTCCATAGCCCGCACCAACTCCTGCTCCGCGCGCTTTGCTTCTTCGGCCCGCTTAGCCGCTTCAGCTTCCATAGCAGCCGCCTCCATCCGCTCCTGCTCCCGCCTGGTTGCCTCCTCCGCAAGGATTGCCTCTTCACGGAGCTTCTGCTCATGCTGCCGTCGCTCATCGTGCAGACGCTCCTCTGCCTCCTGCGCCCGCATCCCGTCGAGGACCGCCTGATGCCGAGCATCCAGAACTGCAACAACAAACAGGCCCACCGTTACAATCTGTTATTTATTTAAGGGTTTCTCCTTGCCGAACTCTTACCACTGTCGGCCGCGCGAAGAGCTCTGTTGAGCACGATGAACAGGCCAGTGAAATTGGCTTCGTGGTGGGCAAGGTGCAAGTGATCACCGGCCATGACAGGATTCTCCAGAGAGATGAAGTCCCAGACGGATCGGCCTGCCTGCATGCTACAAAAGCGACGGAGTGCATCGTTCAATACTCGCACGGCGTACTGGCAGATGGGATACTCCTGCCGGATGGGAGGAACGAACAGGACCATGATCTGCTCGTAGAAGTCCTCCAGGCAGTTGACGTGGTCCCACAGCAAGGTGCAGACAGACCGCACAACCGCATCAGCTTCAGAACGACCACCACGGCCCTTCCAAAATCGTTTAAGGTCATTTGTGCCGGCTGCTAGGAGGAGGCGTTGCCGTCGCTGGCCCGGAATGGGCTTCGGCCACGCTGCGGCTCCCTTTGGTCGGTCGGGAGACCTGTCAAAGTTGATGTGCAGGCGCCGGGACCAGGGAATACATTCCCCCAGCTCGGCAAGCACTGTCGCCATTTTGGCACCACGGTGGCTGAATGCGGCCACAGTGTGGCCGGTGATGATCGGCAGGATCAGCCCGATGGCCGTGCCATTCTCACGGTCAGTGCAATACACCACACGGCGCAGCTCGCTGTCGCCAAACATGTGGAGCGTGGCTATGGTCAGGTCACCATAAAAAATGACGTCCATGCCGTTCACGGGCAGCAAGAAGAACGGCCGGAAGGTGGCGTTGGGCAGGGAGACACACGGCACGGTGCGGGCGGTGCGGACGGCTGAGCTGCTGGAGGCGGAAACAACGGCACCGGCGGCTGTGTCCCGTGACGAAGGCATGGAGGCTGATGACCGACGCATGGCTGCGGCTCTGTCAATGCAACGGTTAGACATGGACAAAAATAAAAACATTTTATTAAACCCTTTGTTGTACGCGCATTTACTACCAGCTGTAATTTTTATCGTCAGTATTATTATTATTATTATTTTTATAAAACAAAAAATAACATACGTTACATACCCACCGAATTCAGCGGACTGTCAGGTGCAAACAAAGGGTCCCGGGGAAGGTTCCGGAGGAAGGCTTGATCAACTGCGCAAGGCAGGATCTCGCCGGTTCGCTCAGCGCGCTTTGCGCGAGCTCACCACGTGGACAGCGGGCAGGGTGGAAGGCGCTGACGGCTTGCTGCAGCACGTTTTGTGCGAGCTCACCAGGTGAAATCCGCGAAAGGGTGGACAGCTTTGGAGGGCTAACTGCAGCACGTTTTGTGCGAGCTACGCCGGTGTGGATGGAGAAGACGATGGCGGCGGCGAGTTGTCGCGGACAGAACAGCGTGGCCAGTCGCAGGTAGACTGCAAATAAAACAAACAATAATATCATTACCACTTTCTGTAAGTACAATATTTAATAACATATTACAATACTACATAAATCTTACAACTACATTTAAACCGATATTTTAAAAGCTAACACGGTATTCGTTGCCTTAATGAGCATACATTTTAATTTTAACCACACTGTAGATACGCGCTGATTGAATGATTCAGTGATTAATTTATTTATTTTCGAGTAGCCAAGCCCGTGAACGAGCACTCTCACATATCCTTATCCACATACATGGCTACATGCGCACTGTGCTTGCTGCAATGCTATCACTGCACACTGAAAACTGCTGCCGTCAGCAGTTTCAGTAAAACCTGGCTTGCGCACAGGGTACATGGTTGGGGGGTGTTGCCCTAAATGAAAGGCACCTTTGAATGTCGGCCCGCCAGCTTTCAATTAATAATCTTTGAATTTTATCAGAATATCGGATTTATCGTTTCGCAAGTTTTTAGCAAACTGACAGCGGTATTAGATTCGTATCGGTCAGTTTAACGACTATTTAATGACCAAATAATTAGATCTTGATATTGTTATCACGCTATTGAATTAAGAAAATCAAATTAAAGCCATAGAACAGATTGCATATACCGTAATTATCGGGTTTATGGCACCCCTCACAATCATGGTCGAACAAGAATCGCCCCCTCCGAAATTACAAGCCCGAGTGCCGTAAACAATCCTGCATGTAAGCTGTGTAATTTTAAACTGCTACTGCGAGTGCCACAATGTACCGGTAATTGTTGTTCTGATAACCATTTATCTTTAGAAAATCATATTCTCCAATTTGATATTCTCATATCTCACAATAAATGTTCGAAAAACTGTAAACACGGCTGAAACACCCTCTGTAATCGAGACAGTGGCATGAAGTTATAGAAGCCGTCTCGGAAGCGCGGCCCAAATTTCGGTAACCACAGAAAAACTGGTTGCAGTAAGCTTCTAATATCGATAATCGCAAAAAAAGAAATTGATGAAATTCACGGAAAACAAAATTCACCGGATAAATGGATGAAGTCAACGGTGTGCCATTTATACTTTTACAGCCTGAATACTAAATGTACCTATTCAAGCCTGGTAAATCTCACTGGTAAATCAGCGGGATACATATGTACTGCACAAAGGCACGAAAAAATGCATCAGATTTCGCGGACAACTCAAAAACAGCAAAAAACATCTAAAAGCAGATAACGAACGTAGAATTAATTTTCCCGTTAAAAGAAAGTAACAAAAACGGTAAAAGTTGAAATACAAAATTTTTATCTGCAATTTTTTGGGCGCATGGCAAATTAATCATGCGCCCTAAAAATTTGGGGCGCATAGTACTTTCGTTTATTATTATTGAAAAATAACGGCGCCTTCTAAAATTTATTGTTTGAAAAATAAGGGCACCAACCAACGTCAATAAATGTCGTTAGCATCGGAGAAATAAGCAGGAAATCAAAATAAATAACAACAAAATGATAGTGTGTACACGGTAACGCAGGCGATGAATAACTCAAATTATTCAATACAAAAATAAAATGGAATGCACACCTACTGATTGCGAGGAATTTCGATTCTCCGCTCAGGGCTCCTGGTCGAAATTCTTTTCACAACTGATATCTTTGATGATCAGACAAACATCGCATGAACCAAGAATCCGAAAGGCTAGGGCAGAGCGCTGCACTCGAAAAACCATAAACTTCTGCTGCGGAATCCGGACGCCTTAACTGGCAGGATAACGATAAACGTTGGTGATGGAGTCAATGGCTATCAGACGCAGTGCTCAGACTGCTAAAAAGAACTCAGAGTCATTTAGATTTCAGCAAAAACCTGAAAACTGGGTTCTCTAAATAACGCGCAAACTCCAGGCATCGAACTATTTTAAATGTCCCGATATAGTCAGTGAAACGCACGTGCGAACAGGAGAATGCGAGGAGAGAGAGAGAGAGAGAGAGATAGAGAGAGAACAGGATACGCAGGTGTGTGTTTGTGTGTTTAATTATATGTGTGCCTGTCTGCTGCAGTGCCTTACTTACTGCATGCAGGTTGTTGCTATAGCGCGGGTTTTATATAAAACCATGCCCGGGCGCAGGTTTAGGGCCAGGGGAAGTGCGCCCCTACTTATAACATTGGACGTATACGGTAACCGCCCATCAGTGCTGCTAAGTTAGGGGCGACACCAACAGCACCGGTTTGAGTACTATTCATCAAACGTAGACATCTTTGAACTCCAAAATCTTTCGCGTTCTTATAAATTGCTCAGGTCTCTAATTTAAGATGTACAATTGTGCATGCAAGTTCAAAATACGTACATTCAATGGAGCTGCAAATTAATACTAGTACAAGTGGTAATTCTTCTAATGTATCCTCGCTCTTTTATAACCCCCAGTCGGCCTACAACCTCCAGTCAACTACAGCCAACTGGATCAAATTGATCATGACCGTTGCGGCCATCGGACTGAACGCCGCGGTCGTCATCTACCACATCATCCGTCCTAAACAGATTACACCCTTCACTATCTACTTATTAGCGCTGTATATTGCCAACTTAGTGTTCTTCTTCGCCGCCTGGCCCCTCAGCCTGATTCGTGACTGGAAGGGAGGGACATGGATAATGGGGAGGTCGATGTGTGTCTTTGCTCTGTACCTCGCTAGAATGGCTACGGTGGTGCCGGTTCCCCTGCACACTCTGATTGCGATTAACCGCTGGTGGGCCATTCAACATCCCATCTCGTACCGCCATCGCCATAATAAGGTCACCGCTATCTGCATGTGTTGCGCAGCAGTCTGTTGGCCGCATATATTCCCGATGCCGGCATTCATCGTGGAACTGCTGTACTATTATCGACCCGAATCAAATCCTGACTGCCGACTGTTTTATGGTACGTATTCTTTAGTCATCATGAGATTGTGCATGGCTCCAGTGACTGGCAAACCACTCATTTAGCCCGCGCTGTAACTTCGATTCGGATTTGAATTACTCACACTTGGATTTAGATTACTCAAACTTGGATTACTTAACTTGGATTACGTAATCTGGAATTACCGAACTTGGATTACTTGACTTGGATTCCATAAATTGGGTTATACAGGCCAATACAGATTGGATGACGTTTTCATACGTTTTCTGGGGTTTCTTCTGTTCTTATGTTTTCTTACTGATGCTTGATTCTTATGTTTTCTTATTTTTCATTTCTTATGTTTCATGTTTTGTGCTTCTCTATGTTTTATTCTTTTGTATTGTCACGAGTATTCCTCGTGCCATAGCTTGCTTAGATGCTTCTATATATGGCGATGCTCTTGTTCTATGTGTCATCCTCTCATTGTTCCAGCCGCTAAGTGCTTTTGATCATTAGCGCTGCTAATGATCATCGTTCGTTGTGCAATCTAGCCTTCGGCTAGTTTGTTTCCTTCCTATATAATGCTAGCGCATTATATGCTAGAGCAGGGAGTAGCCAGTAAAGGTCCAGCTTCAGTTGTGTCGTCCCGCCACGTCAGGGCACGTCGTACACCCCGTGCCCTTGACAATATCATTCTGATGTTGTCTTAAGCTTTAAAAAAGAAAACATAAGAATGAAACATAAAGAAGCAGAAAACATGCAACATAAATTAAAGCTGTGAAAAATAAGAAAACATATAAGAGACAAATACTTAAGCAAGAAATGATAAAAACTAAAAACATAAAAAAACGTCACCCAAGCTGTGTAACCCAAGTTACGGAATCTATAGTAAGTCAAGTAACCCAAGTTCTGTAATCCAAGTTTGAGTGATCCAAATCCAAGTTTGAGTAATCCGAATCCGAATCCAAGTCACAGCGCGGGCCCATTCATTTTGTAAAAAAAAAGATTAAAGCAGCCACATTATGCGTGCCGCTGGCGTATTTAGCTCGTATTGAAAATTAAATGTTGCTAAAATTTTTTATACATAAAATTTCATATGTCCAGTATGTTGTATAGTACAAGTCGTTACTGCAATAATAGTCGAATAAGTGTTAGCAATGTTAGTTTCGATAATACGTCCATAGCCCGGGGACGACCTTTGACGTTAAGTTGGTTCCAAACTTTAATTCTCGAAATTCTAAAAACGTAATAAAAATCCGTAACAAAAATGACGCTAGTAAATAAAGTAACGGATGTTAACAGTATCTGTAATTGCACTTGATTAAAACAAGATTTTGCAAAGCCTGTAATACTATTTTGCACAGGTGTTATGCTCGACTGGAACCGTGCGGAAAACATCGTTGATCGTATCATTCCCATATTGAGTATCACTGTCATATATGCAGTCTTGGCAAAGAAGCGATGGTACAACAAAAAAGTCAGAAAGCCTGGAGCTGGTGCAGCGACCGTGAATTCAGTCCCTACAAACTTCCCCGCTGCTCCGTTTCATCAGCCTCATCCGGGTAGGAACCAGGGACCCAAAGACCGAGTGAAGCCGTTTCTTGTGCTAACACTGACATGCTTTAGTATTTTGGTGTGTTGGCTGCCTTTACAGATATGTTTTCTAATGTGGCATTTCAATGCACGACCGGCGACAATTGTTTTTGAAACTTGTTCCTTCCTGCACGCAGTTCAGGCGCTCTTCGATCCGTTAGTGTATATTGTCAGTCTGCGTCGAAACACGAAGACATCACCGCCGGAATCCTCGTAACTGGCAACTCTGGAAGCTTTGGACGAGGAATTAAACGCACGTTTATAATGTACTATTGCGACAACGAAATTTTTTCGCACTGGCTTATGGCTACCAGTACCAACGTTAATGGTGACGGAGAGACCAGTACGATAGGAATAATTACCGCAATAATCTATTCCTACCGACCTTTCACAACGACAAAGTGTGGGCTAATATCACAATGTGACATAGCTAAATCCACGAATCTACGCGAACGAGAACCTGAATCTCCGAAGAAAATTTATTATAAACTCTTAACCTGCCAAATTGATAACGCGAGAACTGATTTCCAAAGTATCGCCAATCACAGACGTATATAGGCGCGAAGCGCATCCATGTATATATATGCAAACAAAAAAAAAGGTTCTAGAACGTACGAGCGAATAAAAGTACGAGTAAAACCATCACCTTACGTACGCATCGCTACAGTACTGCTGTATTCCGGCTGTTTGATTAGTGCAACCTACTGATAATTACAGATACTGTGATACCGTAGTACTTCGCTCCCTTCAGTAAATGATGAAACTCTAAATAAACTGAACCTGCGCTCCTTCCACGTTTTTCATCATCAACAATCATATGCACATTGATGATGTTTCGTGATATTTCAATTTAAGGAACTAAGACATCCTCAGACAATTAATTGTGCCAGTCACGCAAGCGATACTGCCTACTGAACGTTAAATGAGCAGCACCGTTATGTCATTCCCTTTTGGAGATTCTGCCGGATGTATGTTGGCACAAAATTCCTGCCAGCTTCAGATAACTGGCTACTTATAATGCTGCCTGGTGTCAAAACTGCCCTGACAAGTCGCTCTAAAAATCGCAATATAAAAGGCAATGACACTGCTAGAAATTAAATTCCTATGAGCGAAGTATTAAAGTGCAAAACATTTCATACAAAAGATTATATTCGATGAAAAGGTTATCGACAGATTAAGCTTAGTAAAACTCAGGGTACTCGTACTCTGTACATCACTAAATACAGGCCGCCGATAACTAATATAATATATTAGTGAACTCTGTGTACTTATTTATTACTGGTATTATTACTTTATTATGATCGTGTAAAATGGACGGAGTTAAATTGGACCAAACGTTTCGTTGATGCCAAACACCGTTGTTTATTGTAGATTTGCTGTTGTATTGTCCGTAGCTTTGTTTAACGAAGTGCTTTCACCTTTGTGACAGGGCAGGGTGTAAAACCTGGCACTGGCAAGTGCCTGTGGCGTTGCCACTGGCATGGCAAGGGATAAAATCTGGTATGTCATCCCTCTGGCACACAATAAAATATGGCATGTGCCAGAAAACACGTGGCACAGCGTTTAATAAATAAGAAGAAAAATATTGATGTGTGTCACAATTGTACTGTACACGTTGTAAGTAAAAACGCGATGGTATCGGTTGTATTTAGTTGCAAATACTTGGATTAGTTAGATCCGTTCATAGACAAGAAGTACAAAACCTTACTAATTTTATCAACGAATTAGACTCACCGGCATGCACAATTCGATCAGCAACTGCGTAACGGTGGTGCAAAAAGAATGAATTCGAGAGCTAAACTACACTGCTCCCGCCTTGCAGTTTGCAATCGTTTGGCATGGACGGTGTACGTCTAATATTGTAACGCAAAGATCTTAATCGCCTAATGAAGACCGTTTGGTGCCCAGACAACAAGTGACGATCTACCAGTAAAAATTTGTATTCTACTATCGGACTTATTCCGCACCGTCTGGATCTTTACGCAATGGTAAAGGTCGCGTTACAAATTACAATCACACAACAATTTCCAACAGATCAAAAGGACGCAGACCTAAACGCAGCTGCATAATTATGAAATGCAGACAAATATTCCGATGATAGACGCTCACGGTCTGATTCGGTAAAAAAATTATACCGAAAGACTAATATGATCCATTTAAAAAGCCAAAAACGTCCGTCAGTCTGCACTAAATAGATCTGTAATATCGTTGACATCATCATTTAAATTCCGTAATTAGCGGCATAATTTGCATCCCGATATATTCGAATTGCTTTTAATACACGTTCAAACGGGTGCCTAAATTTCCAGTAAACCTGGTATTACACGTGCAGGCCTACTACAACGGACACGAAGTAAAACGGCAGTCTTCGATTATCAAGTTAACCCAACGCTGATTCATTGTTGCCTTTGACTCCACAAGTAAAAATTGACATGACTACTACTGATTGTTAAAGGTTTTGGGTTGACTGTTGGTTGGAAAATGGAATACTATGCAAAAATAATAACAGTTGCTTGCAAAAGTGCAATTGGCCAGTGTTATGCTTATGTAAGTATGTTTATAAAACATGTGCAAGGCGCCTTTTTTTTAAAACAGTGCATTTCACACCCGCATCGACCTCTTGTACCGCCGGCTCAAGTTCAGTGCACATAGAGACATAACATTATTATGGTAGTTACCATTCAGACATCAAACGATAGTCACTTTGAACTTAAAATGTAGTATCCTGCCAACAATCATCGTTTCTTATGTAGCCGACGCACTGAAACTTCAAAAAAGCTACGAATAATTTTAATGATTGAACGTTCCGGAATATTACTGACCGCGTTTGCGTTAATTTGTCGTAGCGCTTGAAAGTGTACCGATATTGGACATTATGGATGACCCTTGGGTAAGCGGTTCGGAGCTGTGTAATATACAAATCAATTTTAAATACAGTCATCGTACAGATATTGATAAGTACCGACATTGTGCATTTTTTTATCATTCACAAGTACAAGCAGATGCCATTCACACTTAAACCTTAAAAACCCGATAATCAGCGAAGTGTTAAAATTATGTTATTCTTAGGTTATTCTTAGGTCATTCTTAGGTCATTCTTAGGTTTTCGATAGGTAGTGACCTATCGACATCTGATGTTGAAATCCGTGCGCAGCTATTCTGGTTTGCATCCTGTTATGATCGGCGCAATTATGATCCATACAGGCAAATCACAAGAGGCCTACTCATACCTTCCCTTTTTTCTGAAGAAGCATCGGCCGGAGCTGCGGGATCTGCGCGCATTTGGATCGGATGAAGACCAAGCCATAGGAAACGCCTTTAAAGTGGCCTTTCCTAAAGCGGCTCACTTTTTATGCGATCTTCATTTAAAAGATACTGTTAAGCGAAAGATGAGCGAACTGGGTTTAGAACATTATACGGCTGCAGTAATCATGGAAGACGTCTTTGGTGCTCTGAGAGAAAATACCGTTTGCGGTGGGCTTGTCAATTGTACAGGTGCAGAATATGACAACGAATTGGAGAAAGCACTGGAGAAATGGAGCTTTACAGAAGCTGGAGAACGATTTGCCATTTACTTTCGAAAGCACAAAGCTCAGCAGGTCAAAGAAAGCGCATTGTTGGAGCACAGAATCGCAGCGGGAATGGGCCTTAACGTGTACACCCAAAACGCTAACGAGTGTTCTAACAACGTTCTCAAGCAAACAGCCAACCATGAGAAAGCCACGATTAATGATTTCGTTGACCTGTGGCGTGAAGTGAGCATAAAGCAATCAACTGATATCGAACAAGCCGGCATGGGGAGAAGTGAGCGACTGTTTTTGCTAGACGATTACAAGCATTTACACGTGAAGGACAGGGACTTTTACAATTCGGCTAAGAATCCTAGTGCACCCCACCGCGCCAGAACAATGAAAAGCATCCATTCCGCTAAACTGCTGCCAAAGGCGCTAAATTTTTCCTCCGATTTTGCCACGATAGGGACTAGGTTTGTTCTTTAATCAGTGCATGCCGCTGCGAAAATAGTAAAAGAAGTAAACAATGAAATTACCGCATATCTGCCCTCGGTTCTTTTGTTGCTCTTTTATTTAGCCGAAAAACATATATTTTGTACTGTGATGTTAAAAAACGCGTTCAAATAAGAAATAATTGTCTAGTCTGAAGTAACTGCGTAGTGCGATGAGAAAACTTTTATTATCAGAAATCTGTCGGTACCAGAGTCCGTTGATAACATAATAAAATAAGGTGCATGATTTACACATACTGCAGTACAGATAGGTTTGTTGCGACATTACCTTTCCATAATACAATATCTGATATACAGCGGCAAGCTTAACAACTATCATACTTTTCTGTCACTAGCAACAGCGCCGTTGAACCTTCCTTGCCAGAAGCGGGAGAGACATATCTGCGCTCATTACTGCGGAAGTTCAAGGGCGTTCCAGACGGTATCCAGGCTGATATAGCCGCAAAAGCAGCACGTATTCTTCGCGAACGACAGAACCAGATTTCCATGCTTCCCTGTCGTCCATTCGAAAACGCTGCAATGGTTGCAAGCCAGTCTGATCCTGCGAAACCACATATGCTGGAAATGGACAACCGTAGCGGTAAAATCTCGTGCACTTGTTCCGGATACAAGTTGCGGTTTGTGTGTGCGCACTCAGTTGCTGTTAGCGTGGACCGTGATAAAACAGCGGCATTCATCGAATGGTTCAGTGTTGCATCCAGCAAGACAAAGCCGCTGGAGAAAGTGGTGAACTACGGTGTGGGGCGGGCTGTGGGAGCTAAGCCATCTGCAACTCAACGCAGAAAAGCGCCGTCCAAAATGGGCAACCCTGTTACTCGCATCATTACCAGCACATCTTCTCATTATTCACAACCAACCACTTCCGGCAATTGTGACAGTGTAACCCTTGCGACCACCATTCATGGAGCGCCTGTCTGTCTTTCGAATACACCACCTATTCGTATCTGCAAGCCACCCGCGAAAATTTCCGTTAATCCGGACCCGTATACTTGTGAACTGCATTTCTTGAAAGATTGTCATCCCAACACCCGTACATGTTCCGCATGTCTTAAGCCTCTGCATGTTAAAAATCAAATTGGCAAAACTCCACAGGATGTTGTCTTGGTAGGTAGCTAAAAGTTACGCTTAATTAAGATACAGGATGCATTCATTATTGGTACAGTTATTTTGTTAAATATATTCTTGTAAGGAGGCATTGCATCGTAAAAGGTTGTCCGACGTTTAGGCGCGCAAAGATATAGTTAGTGCGTTCGGGACGCTATGTTCGCGCAAAGAGCGAAAGACGCAAGAACCATTGCAGTTATTGCGGTAACAAATTTGATAATCTTTTAGGTTTTCTTAGGTTTAATATTCTTTTATTATTTATTGATCATCTAAAAACAGAAATAAATTTAATTATATATGTTAATAATATTTTATTTTATATCGTTGTTAAGTTTAGCGAGCGCCATGCTTTTAAAGCTGCAGTAAACTTAAACAGTGTGGCACTGTGTGGGATACGCCGCTTAGTCTATATTCGGCTTAACCCAAACATTTGCACGTTCCTCCGTCTGTTTGTTTGTGTTTGTGTGCGGCGGACAAGCTTGTACAGACCACGATAATACGAGTCAATATGCGAGTAATATGCACAGTTTTAGTACTTCGGGAACTTTAAACATCCGCCTTGTAATGTATGTACAATTTAATGTGCCCGTACAGTCTGAGCGAGTGATCGTTCTTTCCACCCCATCTACCTGGTTCGTTGGCCGTCAAATTGTTGCGTGTAAAATGTTAGTCACAGGTAATTAAATGGACGATAAAAGTTATAACTTAATGAGAAAATCTAAAGTCTAGAAAACAGAGCAATCATGATATGTTTTGTGGAATGAAATCGTAAAAGCGCTATGTTTTTCTAACCGGTATCAGGCAATAGGCTTTTCTTGTTTCCGTTTCAGGTTTCTCGCATCCCACGGAAATACAAAGATAAAGTTACTGGTGAACTTCTAACCGGCACCATCAGCAATGTATATTTTCATGTTACTAGAGCATGCGTCCAAAAAGAATTACAGGAATTCAACCCATCAGACATAAGTAAACCGACGAACACACATCTTTTTCAGTTTAGTTTATGGAACTGCCCGAACGTGGCGCGGCACCCTTTTTAGTTTAACAGTTTCAGTTTTGGACTTCAGGAAAAGTAGTTTTGGATTAATGTGATAGTTTTACATAGTGGTCAGTATAGATTACAGAGTATTTTTGCCAAAAACAGTAACACCAGTAGGTAGCCGTACGGAAAATAGGAATGACTGGACTACTGGCAGTACTTTACATAAAGCACTGACTGTTCACCGATTCACGGATTCACGACATGCGGGAAGCGTAAAGTATTCGCAGTACTTTAGGTTAAATTACTGACTTTATATAAAGTACTGACTCTTCACCGATTCACGGATTCACGGCATGCGGGAAGTATGAAGTATTGGCAGTACTTTAGACAAAGTACTGACTTTATGTAAAGTACTGACTCTTCACCGATTCACGGATTCACGGCATGCGGGAAGTATAAAGTACTGGCATTACTTCAGACAAAGTTCTGACTTTATGTAAAGTACTGACTGTTCCCCGATTCACGGATTCACGGCATGCGGAAAGTATAAAGTACTGGCATTACTTCAGACAAAGTACTGACTTTATGTAAAGTACTGACTGTTCCCCGATTCACGGATTCACGGCATGCGGAAAGTATAACGTATTGGCAGTACTTTAGACAAAGTACTGACTTTACGTAAAGTACTGACTGTTCCCCGATTCACGGATTCACGGCATGCGGAAAGTATAAAGTATGGCAGTACTTTAGACAAAGTACTGACTTTATGTAAAGTACTGACTCTTCACCGATTCACGGATTCACGGCATGTGGGAAGTATAAAGTATTGGCAGTACTTTAGACAAAGTACTGACTTTATGTAAAGTACTGACTCTTCCCCGATTCATGGATAAAGTATTGGCAGTACTTTAGATAAAGTACTGACTTTATGTAAAGTCCTGACTTTTCACCGATTCACGAATTCACGGCATGCGAGAAGTATAAAGTATTGACAGTACTTTACGATCACATAAAGTACTTCACACAATCCCGGCATTGTGTAAACGACTTTAACATGAGGCGCGAAAGCAAGGCTATTTTTGTATTTCGTACTTAATAATATAATATAAGGTACGATCGTCGTACGTGCAATCCGGGTTCGTACAACGTTTCTAAATACAAAATTTTGACGCACTAAAGTTTCCTATAATTACAAAACTCCTGCGCATAGCTTTGACCATAAAACAGAGAGTGTAGAAAACGAATGTCGCACTGAAAAAGCACGAGCGGATGAACTGATGAAGCGTCAGATGGCGCTAATGTTGAAAATGGATGAAATGCAGCGAATGCCTAAAGCGTCTGAAAAGATACAGTACCCGCAAGTATACGAAGGTACACAACAAAGCGGTAAAGTTGAACGGTTCATTATGGACTGTGAAAGGTGTAAAGACTTAAATGAATGGAGTGAAAAACCCTTGATTGAAAAAGGACTGTCGTATGCACTGAAAGGTGACGCGTACTTCTGGTATGCGGAAAACAAAAAATTAAATCCAGATAAAGACTGGATTTCCTGGAAAGCAGCACTAATTAATCACTTCTCATCGGAGAATGACCAGGCCGAAATACGGCAAGCGATGTACGCACGTGTCTTCAAAGAGGAAGACACGGTTAATTCGTACGTTGACGGCTACCTAAATTGGTTTAATACACTTGGTACGAAGGAAGAGGAAAGAGTGTCCGTACTTATCCAGGGATTAAAGAATACTCGTATGAAGTGGTACGAAAAGTTGATTATGTCGAAACCAAAAACTGTTGAAGACGTAATGGTGCAGTTGAAAACGCTGTACTTATTAAAGGTTCAAAAAGAAATGTACGAAAATAATGATTTAATTGAATTTGAAGATGACTCTGAAAATGAATGCGATGAATATGAAAATGATACTTTGAATGATGACTGATGTGAGAATTACGAAGTCTGTGAAAGCGGTAGTAGTTACAGTAGTGGCGATAAAAAGCCGTACGTAATTGGAAATGTTCAAATTGACGTTCATAAATGGCGAACCGATAGCGGTCAGCCGATATGCTTCAAGTGCCATGAGCTGCACCCAGCAAAGTACTGTACATTTAACGGTAAATGGAAATCTGTTTCAAAGGAACCGCCTGTTGAAGTGTTGAAGCGGTACAACTTAAAAAATGCGGAAGCGCGTTCATTGGAAATTCGTACTGTGAAGTGCGAATTAAAATCAATTGAAAATGTGGAAACTGAAGTGCAGCAGCACTCAAGTTTGCGGGGGCGATATGTGCCCAGTGAGCTACCGCCCGATACGTTGCAAACGACTGTGTCCATTCAAGTTTGCGGGGGTAAGCCCGATAATACTGGTGACGCCTAAATGGCTGAAAATTTTGTAAATGAAGAATTTTGGAAAGTGGAACAGCGGAAGTACAAGGATACTAAGCACTGGTACTACCTGTACAAAAACCCAGTTAAAGCGAAAAATAAATTTCAAAATGAAGAAATTTATCACTTTGTTGTGATAAATGGTTTGCTTTGTAGAAAGCGCTCTGAAAATGGTATTGACAGAATTGTTGTGCCTAAACAATTGCAAGAAAAACTGGTTAAGTCAGTGCGGAACCGATATGTGAAAAACGAATTAATGCCGCGCGGAGTGTCAGTACAACAGTATCTGACCACCAGGTATTACTGGTACAATATGGTAAAAACAATTGAAAATGTTTTCTTGAAATGTAATGCTGAAGTGAATGCAAATACGTTTAAAAGAGTGCTAGATTGTTTGGAAATGAATAAATCTGAAAGCGTAGCTGGAATGTGCATTAAATTGCAGAATGAAGAAGTTGAAATTCCTCTTGCTCAGTCGCAGAGAGAAAGCCCGTGCACTACGAAGTCTGTTCGGTACGCGTATCATGGGACTGGTCGATGCATCGACTCAAATGAATGTGAAAAACCTAAAATTGTGAAACAGTCTTTAGCGGAATTGAAGAATCCAGTTATCGAGGTTGACAGCGTTGTGGAAATGGTGTGTGAAGACAAGTCCAGTGATGTGGACAAACTTTGAAATGTTCCGGTAAATTTTCTGGGAATTTATTCCCGGAGATATCCTTTCTGAATGCCGTCATACGGTGATTGTACGTTTGATGACAGAGTCGCATTGGTCACCGCCTAGAGCTGCAATGCTGACTGCTTGCGTTTATTTGCGTTTATTTTTTCGCAATTTTCAAAGTGGTGTTTTCTTTTATTTTCATTTTCCATCGCGGATGTTTTTTGCCTTGAATTTTTCATCGGCGATTTTCCTTAATTTAATTAATTTTGCCACTGAAAAGTTTAAAGTTTACTTTGCTCCGACGTTTTTCCTGTTCCTACTCCGACTGCCTTAAATGCCGTTTTGCCAACCAACTCACTTTCTCCTGCCAACTCTCAGTTCCATCCCGTCAAGGATCCTCTCCTCTCACCATCTCACTTGTCACCCGTGGAGGAGGATCAGTCACCTCACTCTTGGACGGAGGATGGATTTGCCCGACCTTGCCCAGTCGAGAGCGTGAGACCTCATTTAGTTTTGTATTCCTGTTTTTTCCTTTTTTGTCTTGGCGTTCGCCAAAAGCCGTTTGCGGGGGTGACGGAATATAGCCGTACTCGCAGTGATTAGTACGTACGTTAATCCCTGTACTCGTACATTCTATTATTCGCTGTACATTCTCGATCTTTCTGTTTTGTGTTCGGATCTACTTTTGGTTTTGTTTCTACACGGATGCGCCGTGTCTATAAAAGTCCGTGAGTGGCAGTACTTTGGTGATCAGTTCTCTCATTCTGAGTTTGGCAGTTTCGGAGTTATTAATTAAAATATCGTCGGAGATGCAGTTCTCGCTTCGCGTAGATTCTTAGGCTTAGCTATGCCACATTGAGATATTAGCTCATACTCTGTCGTTGAGTTAGGTCGGTAGGATAGATTATTACGGTAATTATTCCTATCGTACTGATCTCTCCGTCACGTGCGATGTACGAACCGCTTTACTGCTACAATTAAAATTATGATATGGCGGAGACCAATCAGTCAAACTGTATTTCATCTACACCACGATTGACCAGCGCTCAAACTTTGAGCTACGGTCAACCGTCGTGCAAATGTTGCAGTGATTCAAATGGTCAAAGAAATACTGATTTATTTCGTCATCCTTTTTTAATTTAATTTTTTTTGTAATTTTTTTTAAATTCTTTCTCGTGGAGTTATTATTCTAGATCTGACTGGATTTGTGCTCTTCATGCCGCAGCATAATCTCTAAAATATGTGTCTACGCACCCAAAATCTCGCGAACACTCCGACAGTGCTGCCAAATCAACAGCAGTTCTGAAAAAGGACTGGTCTGGCTGGAGATGAAATTATAAGCCAACAAATCTGGTAAACCGAGAGGATATCTGTTCAGTGGCAACATTTTCCGGACCACACGCTTCGCTGGGTTCGCCATGAATGTCTGGTTCATTCCGGTTACGCATTGCATGCACTCGTATTAAACGTCAAGGTGCCGCAAAGCACGCGGTGGTGGCACCGCCACGTTCTAAGTGCATATTGGCCCTGTAATCAGTGTAATGCTATCCAAGAGTCGGTCGTTCGAAAAATCCCATCAATCATGGCTTTTTTAATCAACTATAGCTTCAGCTAGATACAAAACAGTTCGACGTTCACTAAATTTTTGCGACTTTTTTAAAGCATACATGTGTATTGTGCACTTAACCGCAACTCACAGGCAACCGTGTAAATTTTTTATCCCGAGATACAGTAAATGCAGTATTTAGTAACAAGCAGTATTACCGTTATTTTAGATTCAATCAAAATAACGGTAATGACCATACATAGTAATTTCTTAAGTAAAATAAAATTTAATTGAAAGTTGTTTTCGAAGCAGGAAAATCATTAGTAACTGTGCCACCGTGGTAAATTCGAGATTAAAGGAAGTATTATTATTTTGCCAGATTTGTAATGACCATATATAGTAATTTCTTAAGTAAAATAAAATTTAATTGAAAGTTGTTTTCGAAGCAGGAAAATCATTAGTAACTGTGCCACCGTGGTAAATTCGAGATTAAAGGAAGTATTATTATTTTGCCAGATTTGTAATAATTTCTGTGTGTACTACAACGACATTTCTGCGCTTAATATCGAAAAAACTTTTTCAAAACGAATTATTTTTGCGTTTCGAATTCCATTTATATTTATTTAGATTAGTTAAAAAGTGCCTCAAATAACAAATTTCATCCCTAGCTTTAAATTAGCGTAAATAAATAATAATTTAAGCTTTAAATACGCGTACTGTATATAATTTGAATATGTCAGAATCGACATCGGGGTCCATAACTCCAATCTTGCAGATTTACATAATGAATGTGATGTACAGGTACCGGCTCAAACTGCGAAGCCCATCCACGATACCGTAGTTCAGCAGAAAACTTTAATGAGCCACATCAAATAAATTTTCTTGCAAAATTTATATTTCATTGCCCAAACAAACTTTTATTGTTATACTACTGATTACTGGGTATTACTAAAACCTGGACACGGCAGGCAGGCAGGCACTGTAGAAAATGTTGCACTGAAGAGTCGGTACAGTATTAAATTACGTATTGCCTGGCATGTGCACTGGTTGACACGATAAATTTACTGTGGCCAAGGTACTATCGTCCACTGTCCTGCCGAGTGCCGCTTGTGTCCTGCCAGCTGCCTGCCGGTGGCCTGCCGGTTACCTGCCACCTGCCTGCCACTTGCCTGCCTGTCTGCCGTGTCTAGGTTTTAGTAATACCCCTGATTACTTAACAATTTTAAGTATGATTCTTATTCAGAGTACAATTCATAAATCATCAAGAAAGCGCTTGAAAACTGAGCTGCTCGGCTATGTTTAAGAAGTCGAGCTCTGTATACATTCCATGCACGGTAACAGGCATAAAAAATACGTTTTTGCGCAATTTAACGTTGCTAAAGTCAGATATACTGTACATACACATATTATTAAAAAACTGGGGAACCTGCTACCATCCGTTGTGTTTACAGTTTACACCATAACACCGTGGAGATACGTACTTAACCTGGTGCATATCGTCGATATGCACCATGTTAAGTACGCAACATGAAGATCGATATGATATCGACCTTCATGGTGATCGAATTTTGCCAAATTACCCGTTGCTGAGTTAGGTAACAGTCTTTCGCCTTTTAAGGACCGGAAACACCACTGGGAACTGCGCAGCCTCGCAAACACCACTTGCAACAGAAAAGTTGACAAGTGTCTCTGTCCGTATGTTGTGTTTCCGTTTACTTATAATGTTTTCAACCCGTTGAGTGCAAAGTTGCGAACCATGCAGCGAAAGCGGTGGGAAACAAGGCCTGCTATAATAGCGCACCTTGCGTCTAACAAACATAGAGCACTGTAGGTGAATACTGGATTCACCGTGGACGATATGGCAATTAAATATTCAAAGCAGCACTGTGTATACATACGGCGCTTCGAAATGACTGTTTCCCACCCGCCTGCCTGTCACTGCTGTTTCTGTTTGCTAACTGCGTGAATTGCGATGTACATGTGTTTCCTGCTCTCCTCTGGTGAGCGATGTGCTAAAAACGGTTTACCCTTCGCGGTCTCTTTTGCTTCTAGTTTACTGGCTGTCTGTGTTGAGTGGAAACAGCATTAATATTTGCTTGCCCAGGGTTTTTACTAAACACGTTTAACAAAGTCTGTTTATAATCGAAATGTACCGTAATTCCAAACCAAATTTCCGCTGGATCTGAAGACTGTCTGTCTGCATATTATGCAGACAGACAGTATGCAGATCCAGCGGAAAAGGTCGCACCATCATATTATGATGATGCGACGTATCGACGTGCCATCGGACTAAACTTCAGCAATAAGGGGTACTGAGGATGCACCGTTTGAGACCTGTCTTGGCCGGTTTCAACTTAAGTCCAGTCACAATAGAATAACAATTACGAAACACGAAACGAACGGCTGCGTCTAATGTCGACTGTATGTCTTGCATCGTGAATATCCTGCATTTACCGCAAGTCATAACGATTATGATTGGAGGTAAACGCTGGATATGAACGATGAAATAAATAATGGACGAATTGCAACTCTCGGATGGCACCGCTACATGTAGAGGTCCGTATCATTTGTCATTGAACTTGCACAATACGCACTGTATTTATGAACTTGAAGTGCATTTAAGCCTTGTATTATTAAGCCTAATTTATGACAGGCGTTACAGGAAACAGCAACCGCAGCTGTGAGACAGCTGAATGCGCGCGAAAATTTTGTTTCGTATGATGAAAATGATTATGGCTGGTTTTGATACATCAGGTTTTATCGCTTTAATGAAAATCTACTTGCGTAGGCCTATTAAGTAGAACGCGAACTGGTGTATTGACGATTAAAATCACATAGTCTTATCGCTGTAAATAATTTATCGCGTACAAAACTATTCCGTGGAAAAAGTAGTATAACATGTACAAAAAATAAGTAAGTACAGAGTACACCATCAAAAAGCCGTAACTGAAAGCTGATTTCCGGGATGTGCCGAAAAGCAATACGGATCAGTATATTATCTGTACCAATCGGAAGCTGTATTAAACACCCATCCAGTTGGCATTTTCTAGCCTCCCCGCAATTTCTTCTCACAACCAACAAGGTATTTCTTTAAAAAGCACAGTCATATCCAGCTCAAAACTCCATCGGTGGATACGGGATGGGCCGCGGTGGCTGCTCGCGTGCCAGCATGGCCAAATTCAGTGCCCATAACGTCACTGTCGACAGCGTTGTCAAATCTAAACGGTGCAGCTCCTCACAGGTCCAGCGATACCCACGGTAACGGTTCGTCACGCGCGGATCATTGCACTGATAGATCAGTAAAACCTACGCAAGAAATTAACCAAAAAACGTGAATAAAAGTCTCAGTTTGGCAAAGAAATAAATATTATTCGAACTTCTTTAAAAGTCTGGTTTGATAATCCCTTGGCTTTGTAACGTAACCGCACATGGCTAGTTGAAGGGGGAATTAAAGGGTCTAAAAAGATAA